CGTGCCCCTGCAGGCCTCTCTCCACTCGTGACAAACGAAAAACATATGGCTTGTATGGTTCCAGTTTCTAGGCGAAGATTCATTCTAGTTTTGCACATTTGGCGAGTACGGAGTGAAGCCCTGAAAATCACAGGCCGAGTTAGTACGTCAGTAACTCATAACTGCTGAAACACGGACCTGAATTCGAAGCTACACCATATATATATAGCTGGCCTGCTCCCTGTTTACTACAAGTCCAGTGACTACCCGGTACTTCTCCTGCCGACGGGACCCTTGCCAATTTTTGGCAGGAACCTTTTGAAGTACCGCCAGGGGTTGTCTGAATAATTTGAAAGGGCTCTGTGCTCTCTCTCTCTCTCTCTCTCTCTCTCTCCCCCAGCATGTATACACATCACGGTTGCTTCTTCTTCTTCTTCTTCTTCTTTGCGCATCTGCGATCAGCACACCACACTGAGCAGCGCACTTCATCTATGCGCCGCAAGTATGATTTTTTGGCTTTTCTTTTTCCGCCTGCCCAGGCAAGTGGTCCCGATCCATTCTGGTAGCCTACCATCTTCCCCCGAACATAACACACCCTAAAAATGAATGTATACAAGCTATATTTCCGGCCAGATACAGCCAAAATAAGGGTGCGTTGTTGTGCTCGGGGGAAGACCGCAGTTCATTTGTTGATTGATTAGTTTCGGGGTAGATATCGGCGACCAACCTTGACCGGTGCGATTTGACTCCCACCTGCAGTCCCAGACTCTACTCTTTTTTTTTTTCTTTTTTTTTCCGTTTTTTTTATAGAGTTGGGACTTTGAGGGACTTGACAAACAGAAACAATGACAAGCGAAGGTATGGAACCACTCACAGATAATCATGTCCCATGCTGTCCCGAAATCGCCCCTTGTGTGGAGAGTCCCACACCCAAAAGTGACCCAATTAACAACCAACTACCAAAATGTGCCTTTGTACTTGGCAATCTTTGAAAATTCGAAATTAGTAAATTAGTTAAAAACTTACCCTTTCTGAATTGAACAGAGCTTGCTTTTGTTTTTGTTAAGGTCTAAAGTCTTTTTTTTTTTTTTTTTGAAACACCCCCACCAGTGATAGTGGTGCTGATAAGAGCAGACACCACTACCACGTTTAGGTCTAAGTCTGATAACAAATACGATCCAATCTTGTTTTTTTTTTTTAGGTCTAAAAAACTAATAACAAACGTCATCCTCCCGTTAAGCCGCAGTCCTTCTAAGCTTTCAAAAGACACAGAGAAACAACAGTAAAAAGGCGGTAATCAGGAACTGAGGGCACACTGGAAATAGGTTGAAACACCACACCCAATTAACCAATTAAAAACCGTCAATGTAGTACTTAGACCTTCCAAAATTGGAAAAATGTGGATGCACAAACGTTTGGGAAAAAAAAAAAAAAAAAAAAAAAAAAAAAAAAAAAA